ACACCTGCTAGCACTCCTTGCTGAGGGACATCGGGATACACACTTTGGAGTTACCCATGGAGGCTGCCAGGACGTTGCCCGTTCGAGGAGATGGTCACTTCCAGGCAGCTCGCTCGCAGACGCGATCTCCAACATTTCGCTCGCTAGACCGCTGGCCACCATCGAGGAGGAGCTGAAGCGATACGAAACATCCATGGACATGTCAGTACCAGACGACAAGGCCGTCTTCTCTGCGGGTCTGCCAGTACCGCCCTTCACTTGATGCGTCCCTCGTTGACGATGGTTTGTACTGACTGACGCCCCGAAACGCATCGGAAGCGGTAAATACGAGAGGTGCTGCGAATGATTGCGCGCGCAAACATATGATTACGCATGGGTTCACGGTAAACTATCAGCGACGCGAAAGCAGCGCCATGATCATACCAGCTGGAGAAGGAGCGCGGGAACTTCGGATGAGGCTTCAGAACTCTTGCAACGCCAAGTTGGTCACCCCCGACTGGAAGGCAGAAGCGCATCTGCTACGAGACTGGAAGTATATTGGCACTATGATAGACGAGGAGGCTGCTCTTGGACCGAAGATAGCAATGGCCGCGGCCAAACAGAGGACGGTGCTAGACCCGATCAGAAGGATGACGACCAGGCTGCACAGACTTACTACAGCGGTTAAGGTCAACCTCTGCGATGTCCCGGCCAACGTCCACCTGCTAGATTTGACGGGAGTATGACGTGAACCACAGCCGGCTCAGAAGAAGGCTTTGGAGGCACCAAGGATCAAATCATATCGCACGGCAGTCGGCAAACAACACCATTCTGAGACGGGCACCTACACAACAGACGCAGAGGTGCTTGTTGTGGCCAAAAGGGTGGGGATCGAAAACGTTGTCAAGAGTCGCCGTCTTATTTATTGTGGGTCGTTATTTGCCACCGCCCCTTCGGCACTGCTTTTCCTGATCGATATGCTGGCCCCTCAGAGGGGTTCGTGGGCGTCTACGGTCATGGGAGACTTTCGATGGCTTGGTGAACATAATCTCAAAAGCGGAGGGGAAGACTGGACGCTGAAGCGTTGGCTGGATTTTGCAAGAGATTTGCCGCACTCCTTGAAGCTGCTGGTCAACCGAGCGTGGAAACATTGTATTCCTCAGGAGCTTGATCGCCTTCATCTCAGATCCTGGCAGCATCGAGTTGGAGCCGCGCTTCCTCGCGACCAGGCGGACATCAGCCAGTCGAAGCACATATGCTACACGTGCGACACGACGGTTGCCACAGTTGCCGCATGGAGGCGACATCAGCTTGAATGCAAGCATGAGGCAAACAATGTGCAGCGTGTGGGATGATCTTCGGCAATCGCTCATTGCTTATCAAGTATTTGCGCAAGGTTGGCAATTGTTGTGTGCTTTGGCTCGAAGAACACATCCCACTACTCGACGAGGAAGAGGCCCTACTACGACGTCAGACCGATCTTGCCATTGAAAGGGGCCAAGCTAACAGAGGGTACCATCGTCTCATAGTTTTCAGAGGGCAAGGTATGGCGCGCTTGAAGATGGACTTGGAGATGGGCAGCACAGGGGTGGACGAGGTCCACCATTTCAGCCCCCCCACACCACCAACAGCTCTGGTTGAGATTGCCTGTCCTGTCTCGAACCTCGCGCGGACGGGCGATGGTAGTGCTGATGAGGTTCACGTGCTATTCCACCGAGGGTCATACCCAGGTGATTTTCTCAGTTGGGCGCGTCACTTGTCCAACGGCTTGGCCATACCACGGGCACATGGCGCACTGGAATTTGATCAGGATGAGAAGAGTGTTGGCTGGACAATTGGCGATGGTGAGACTGATATTTGATTAGCGGCAATGGCTGAGGGAAATGTGGCTGGAGTTATTGCGGCCCCCAGTCTACCGTCTCGGAGGCTGAACGGGAGATACTTCGAGGTCGACCTAATTTGCTAGGAGCCAACGCCGCCAGACAAGGGGAGCGAGCTTGTCTCAGATCTGGTACAGCTCCACGGGGTGAAGCACAACTGCCAGCACGTCTGCGTAAACAAGTACTGGAAGGCAATCGTGAGTTTCGCTGCCTTTTGCTTTTGATGTTTGGTGCGTGCTCAACGGGTGTACCTGCGATATTGGTGGCGCCCGCGGCCAGATTGGCTGCGGCAGTTGCAGTGGTGCCTGAGTTTCGAGAGTCTGTTCGCCACAGAAGAGTACGGCACCAGCAGATACCAGATGAAGTTGCAGGTAGCGGCGAGGCCCTCGCAGCCCTGCCTGTTCATTGTGAGTTAGATTTCAGCCGTAGCAGGGGAGGGGCCCCAGGTCGTGCCCCTCCGAGGCCGCAAGAATCGTGGCCTGTCCGACTTTCACTAGTCTGTGCAGAAGCCATTTTTTAGGCACGTCGCTCGCAACGGGCCGCTGGCGGTCCTAGCCCTGCCCGCGAAGGGCAACCTCACCCCCCTTGGGCCCAGAGGCCGACCATGTTGATGAGGAAGTCCAGGGTCCATCCCCACGCGTCCATCTCGGCCTCCGAGCTCCTCGGGCTAAGGTGAGTCTAACTGGGGGGGCCCGTCTGGGTGGCGAAAGTGGCAGCCGCGCGCCACCCCGAGGCGGGCCCCCCCCGACCTGAGCAGTCGTTCTCCCTTGTCTCTCTCATCATCCACGTTGCAATCATTGCACCCCTGCCTGTCCTCTCCTTGTCTTCCTCTCCGCACTGCTTTCGCTTGTGGGGTGGGTGCCTCTCATTTCGGAGCTTCTGTGGCCCACCCCACAGGCGCCTGGCCTCCCTGTCGTGGCCCTGGCGCTCTCGAGCTCATCCTGAGGTTCGTTTCGCCGCGGGTCTCCGCGCCCTTGTCCCCGCGGCTTGTGTGCGCGCCTCCGCCCGTGTGCGCGATGTGGCGGCTGGCGGCCGCGGGCGCTGACGCTACGAGCGCCTGGAGCGCTCGGCAGCCTGCGCAAGAAAAAAGGACCAGTGCAAATCCAACAAGTCCCCTCTTCACAAGTCCCCACAAGAATACTTTTCCATTCCAATGCGGGAAGTGCCCCTTGGAGGACAACCGTCTGAGAATCCTCCAACGTGCCAAAACACCATTATTTTGACTTCAACGCCGCGAATACACGTTACGGTTGCGTGCTGATGATCCTGAATCGTACCGGAACACCATTCCTGGGATCTCAACACCACGAACCAACGTGACTGCTGCATCCTGACACCTTCTGAGAAGGAACCGCCCTGCAAACCTTTTCAGGCGAATGTGCGCGGCGCGAAGGCGAAAGTCACATTTTGAAAACCACCTGCCATCCATCCATGAACCTCTTGTAAACTGCTCAAATGAATGCGGGTGGCGGCAGGGCGAGAATCAAATGCTGAAAACAACTATGCCTCCATCCGCGAAACTCTTGCAAACATTTCAAACGAATGCGCGTGGCGGCAAGGCGAGAGTCACAGGATGAAAACCTCCCGCCCTCCATCCGTGAAACTCTTGCAAACACTTAAACGGATGTGCACGGTAAAGAGGCAAGAGCCACATTTTGAAAACCACCCGCCCTCCATCCGTTAAACTCTTGAAAACTTGTAAGTCGAATGTGCGCGGCGAGAAAGCGACAGCCACATTTTGGAAACCACCCGCCCCCTATCCTATCCGTGAAGCTCCTGCAAACTTGTAAGACGAATGCGCGCGGCGCTAAGGAGAGAGCTACGTACTGAAAACGGGCCGCCCTGCCCTCCATCCGTGAAACTGTTTCAAATGATAGGCTTCAGGATCATGACCGGTGAAGAAGTCTCGAGCGAAACACCCGGCCCGCACTGCCGACACAGGTCTCGGGGTGCGACGGGGAGGAGTTACTTTATAAGGAAAATAGGTCAGGAGGACGAGGAGGAGAAGGAGGAGGGTGAGGAGGGGGAGGGAGGAGGCGGGTTATTTGGGCTTGCCCAGCGAAGGTATCGTGTCGCGACCCTGGGCAGGGGCCTTTTCCGTGAAGCTGAGCTGAGCTGAGGGGGAGGAGGGAGAAGGGAGGGGGAGGAAGGAGGAGGGAGGAGGTACGGGGAGCAGGGAGAACGGAGATGTCGGCTGGTCCTGGGCTGCCAGCGACGTTCAATCTTGAACGTTCGCGCTGGGGTCGACGCGAATCGACACGACGCGAGCCGATCGCAAGCAAATGGGGCGCGGGAAGCCAGGGCGATGGAAGAACGGAGACGGGAGGGGTAACAGGAGGGAAAAGGGGGCCTACGAGCCTACGAGTTGACACCCTGCTGCCAACCCCCTCCTCCTCACCGGCCCCCGTCTCCTCCTCCCCCATTCCACTCCCCTCCTCCCACCTCCCCTCCTCCTCCTCCTAAGCCGCCCCCGCCCCCTCGTCCAGTTCCTCTTCTTTCCCTTCCCCCCAATACCCCTCATTCTCCTTCCACTCCCCCCCCTCCAACCTCCTCCTCCTCCTCCTCCCCGGCCCCCCCCCCGACGATCAAAGCGACGACCACCACTACCACAACCGAGACCACCACGACCACCACAACCACGACAACAGACACGACAACGACAACGACAACAAATATCACCGCCACGACCGCAACGTCACGACAACGGCCATGACCACGACCACCACCGCCACCACGAAGGCGACCACGAAGGCAAAGACGACGACGACGACGACGACGACGACGACGACGACGACGACGACGACGACGACGACGACGACGGCCGCGACCACTCAGGGAGGGGAAAGAGCAGGAGGAGGAAGAGGAGGAGGAGGAGGAGGAGGGTGGCCGCGTTCGAACCGAATTCCGAGACCGACAGCAACAGCGACAGGGGGACGACGAGGAAGAGGAGGAGGAGGAGGTGGAGTGGAGGGGAGGAGAAGGGGAGGAGGGGAGGGAGCAGGCGGAGGACGGAGAAGGAGGGGAGGAAGAGGGGAGGACGAGGGGAGGAGGCGGGAGGAGGAAGGACGACCGCGCCGGCGGCGAAGACAGCGGCGGCGGCGCAGGTCGCTGGCAGGCAGGGGCGCAGGGGGGGGGGGCGTCCTGCTGGGCGAGCGCCTGCGCCCGCGCAGCGATCTCCTCTGGGCTGACGCCTGGGGGAGATGGCGGGGGGGAAGGACCTTCTCCCTCCTCCTCCTCCTCCTCCTCCTCCTCCTCCTCCTCCTCCTCCTCCTCCTCCCTCCCCTCCTCCTCCTCCTCCTCCTCCCTCCTCCTCCTCCTCCTCCTCCCTCCCTCCTCCCTCCCTCCCTCCCTCCCTCCCTCCCCCTCCCTCCCTCCCTCCCCCTCCCTCCCTCCCTCCCCTCCCCCCCTCCCCCCTCCCTCCCTCCCTCCCTCCTCCCTCCCTCCCTCCTCCTCCCTCGTCCCGCCCGTCCGGCAACCGGACCCCATCGCCCGCGAGGGGACCTGGAAGGACCCCTCAGAGCCCTCGGGGGGAGAGGCCCCGACCCCTCACGGGAGCCCGAGGTATGCAACCGGCAGCAGCGGAGGTAGTAGTTTGTTTTTGCCATCTTCCCCGCTCCTCCTCCTCCTCCTCCTCCTCCTCCTCCTCCTCCTCCTCCTCGTCCTCCTCCTCCTCCTCCTCCCTCCTCCTCCTCCTCCTCCTCCTCCTCCTCCTCCTCCTCCTCCTCCTCCTCCTCCTCCTCCTCCTCCTCCTCCTCCTCCTCCTCCCCCCTACCCCTCCTACTCTGGAAACCTCGTCCGACCTCTTCGGGGGGGGGGGCTTGGCTCGCTTTCGCGAGCGGGGTTGCCGGCCCGCTCGTCTGGCAACCCTCGCCCTGCGGGGAGGGAGGGGCAGGCTCAACGGTCAGAAGGGCGCGAGTGCGGGAGGGTTGCCGGCCCGCTTGCGTGGCAACCGCCGCTTTGGGGGCCCACCGCCCGCGCGGAGACCTGGAAGGACCCCCCTGAGCTTTCGGGGGGATCGGCCCTGACCCCGCACAGGGGGGCCGAACGGCAGGGCTTGCCAGGCAATGCCGCGGTGGGGAGAACTTACCCCCTTTTCCGTAGCCAGTTCTTCTCGACCGCCCGCCCCCTTGGGCGCCGCGCGCGGCGCGTGGCCACATGGACCCCCCGACGTCCGAGGAGCTGGAGCAGTGGGCGTCCCCGGAGACGGCGGCTGCCGCAACGCACGAGGCACGCGCTTGGCGCACTGCGGAGCTCCCGGGCAGAGGGGTGCAAGATCGCCACGTTTTGGCCAGGTGCTTCTTGCGGGACGTCCAGGCCCTTTGGAGCTGCCGCGCGCTCGCGGAGCCCGAGGACCTCCCCGAAGTGCTCCGAGAGGGGCGCGCCTTTGACAGGGCCCTCCAAGCCTCTTTGCGCGAGCTCGCACCTCGCCTGGCGCTGGCCGCCCAGGGGCTGCGTCCTGATCGCCTTCATGGGGCCTGGGAGGGCGCGCTGCCGGCGGCCGACTTCCCGCAGGCCCCGCAGATGGAGCAGGCCGTGGGGCTGGTGGTGGTGGCCCTCAACGTGGCAGGGATCCGCAGCACGAGCGCGGGGCTGGAGGGCAACGCCGTACGCATCGAGGCGGTGTTGCAACGCTTGCGCAACGATTAGGCCGCCGTTGCCGTCCTCAGCGAGCCGCGGCTGGCGCCGGGCCTACACTGGCCCGAAACGCACGGCTACGTCTTCTACGGCGAGCGCACGGCCTCGCCCGGGACGGTTGCGGTGCTGGTGGCGACGCCGCTCCAGGCGGCTGTTACCCCAGTGGCTCAGGTCGGCGATGAACGAGCGATTCGGGTGCAGATCGCGCGGATAGGAAGCGGCGACTTCCTCCTCCTTGCGGCGCACGCCCCCCCGCCGCACCATGGAGCGGCGGTTCGACGCAGCTTCTGGCTCGACAGACAGGATGAATGGCGCCAGCTCTGGGGCCGACCGCAGTTCCGGGGCTGGAGGTTCGCGCTGGCACGAGACGTCAATCTGTACTTCTCGGAACTCGCCCCGGCGAATTCTAAGCACGAGGGCGCCTTGGAGCACAGCGTCCGGGACATGCTCCGCGACGTAGGGGGGTTCGACGCGGCGGCGCGCAACCCGCTGGGCGCGCCGACGCACAAGTCGGGAACGGCCATCGACTGGATTGCCACTTCGACAGACGCACCGACGGCGGTCGCGGTGCACCAGTGGGGCGAGCCAGGCGCCCCAGCCGACCACGCGTTGCTGGTCGCGCGCCTGCCAGGGGCCGCGTGCGCATCCTCGCCGCAAGTAGTTGGCCGTGGCCGTTGGCGAGCTGACGGGGATTGGCAAGGCGCCCTCGTCCCAGCCGAGTCGTCGCTGACCTTCATCGCGGGGTGGGCGGGCCGGGCGTCGCGAGACCCAGTGCTGCGGTCGTGGCTCAGCGCGGGAAGCAGGCGCGCCACGCGCCAGGCAGTGCTGGATAGAGCGGCGTGGTGGCGCGCGGTGGTTGTGACTGCATGCGGGCACTGGGCAGGGCTCGCCGAGGTGGACTGGCCAGCCCGGCAGGGCGCCCCCGCGCCACAGCGGAGGAGTGCCGACCGGCCGGAGACAGGCGCCATGCCACTCCACGCGGCGGTCGAGCAGCTGGTGGAGGAGCAGGACCCCGACATGGTAGAGGCCCGCTCACGCCAGATGGACAGGTACCTGAGACTGGCCGCGACGGCTCCGGGAGAGGCTTCTTCCTTCCTGAGCCGCATCCCGTGCCCCCGCACCCCCCTGTCCCTGGCTTTAGTTGACCTGTGCACGGGCGAGCGGTTGGAGCCGGTGGCTGCGCTCGATGCGGTCGTCGAGAACGGGCGGAAGCGGGGGACGGCAGCGGGGCCCGTCGACGGCCCCTTCGCGAAGGCTGCGGGGCAGGCCGTTCGGAACGCCCGCCGGGAGGCACTGGCGGAGACGCGGGCTGACGACGAGGATGCTTTTTCGCCGTCGCTGGTGGCCCGCGTCGCGAAGGAAGCCCACCCGCGGCGGCAGACCCCGCGGCTACCCCGCCGCGTGGCCCGGCGGGGTACTGCCGCAGCAGGAGGGGCCGCTCTGGTGATTTGGGCCCTCCTCAACCTTTCCCTCGGGATGGGATTGTCGGCCACGATGTGGGAGAGGGAGGTCGCCCCCGTCAGGAAGCGGGGGCCGGTCGCGGTGACCTCCCTGTCCAACATCCGGCCCGTCTCATACGTCGACGATCTCGAGGGGTACCTCGACGCGGCCTGGCTGGCGATAGTGCGGGAGAACCTCGAAGCGTTTGCGGGGGAGCCCCAGGCGGGCGGCCGTTTCGACGCCATCCTCATGGCGCGTGGCCTCGTGATGGCCCTCCAACTAAGGCGGGCAGCGGGGCTGCGAACCCTCCTTGCGAAGGCGGACCTCCTCCGCGGCTTCGACTTGGCGCGGCGGGGCGCAGTGCGCCTCGGGCTTCGCCACGCAGGCCTCAGGGGGAAATGGTGGATCGCAGCGGACGCCTCGCTCGGCACAGAGCGAGCCCGCGTGCGCCTTGGACCCATTGTGGCGGCTGCCTTTGAACTTTCAGACGCGGGGGTAGGGCAGGGGGGGGAGGCCGGGCGCGCACCTCTTCGGCGTGCTCGTCCGTGGCCTCATCGACGCGCGCGCGGGCACAGGGCCAGGGGTTTCCCTTGGCCCTCCTGGGTCGGCCGCAGCGCGGCTTTCCTTTTCCATGCTCCAGTTCGTTGACGACTCCTTCGTGGTCACGGGGCAAGAATCGGAGCTAGCGGCCGCTGCCAGCTCGCTCGGAGCCTGGCGCCCCCGATGGCGCCATCGTTTTCAAGGGGGCGAAAAGAAAGGGCCCGCTGTCATGGCTGTGGCGGGGGGGGCGCCCCAGGAAGAGCAGCGCGGAGCGATCGGCGGCGAGGGGTTCCGCGCGACGGAGGTCCTCGACATCCTGGGGACCCCCGTCGACTCGGGCCTTACCCTCCGCCCCCTCCTGGGCGCCGTCTGCGCCAAGCTGCGCGAGGGCGCGCGCCGCCTTGTGGCGGGCATGGCTGACTGCGGCTTCGGCGCCCCGCTCCAGATCATGCAGTTCCCAGCCCGAGTGGAGTCGGCGGCGCTCTACGGCGCGGAGCTCCTTGCCCCCCACGAAGCAGGTTGGGGAGCCGTGCAGCAGCGCCTCAACAGGGCGTACTACGAAGTCGCCAAGATGCTTCTGGCTGGGGCCGCCCAGCCCTGGAGCTCGGGACAGGGCGGGCAGTCTCGTGTCTTCCTGGAGGCCAGGCTGCCCACGCGCCTCGGCACCAAGCTGGCGAGGCGGATCATCTCGGCGCAGGCCTGGCTCCTTCTCCTTCCTCGCCCGCCCCCCGTCTCTGCGGCGCTGGATGCAGCCGCGCTTTCTCCGCAGGTGCGCACGTGGATGCGCGACGCCGAGACGGCGGGCCGCAACGTCGGGGTAGTAGAATAGCCGCAGCCAGACCCGCTCGACACCGCGGCCCGCCGCAGGGGGAGGGCGCATGAGTGGGTTAGGAGCGTGGTGGGCCCCCTCCTGGAAGCGGTGGAGGCCCGTTGGTTCGCAGAGCAGATCGGTAAACAGGTGGACGACGGCGTGGCACCGCTTCACGCGCTGCCCCCGCTGCGCCAGCCGTGGGGCGCAGCCGTCGCGCGGGCGCCGTGGGGCCGCGCCATGAGACGCTACCACCGCGCCTGGTTGGTCGCCCGCCTGACTTTGCGCATACCAGCTGTCGCGTGGGGCGTGATCGACGCGCCCAGCCCGCAGGCGCCGCGCCCGTTGCGCAGCCGGGCCCAGGCCACGCTGCACCACCTGCTGGTGGAGTGCTCCGCGATGAACGGCCCCCGCGACGAGATCTGGGCCACTTGGGGGACGGACGCGATGCCAGACGGCATTCTGGAGTGGGCCCTGACCGAGCCAGCGGCGCTCGAGATCCTCGAGGCCAAGGTGCGCTTCGTGGGCGTCCTGTCGGGCGCCTTTGTTAGGTTTGTGCACGCTGCGAAACGAGCTGGCCCTGGCTGAAAAAGCTGCCGCCAATTGCCGCCGCCGCCCCCGCCGCTGCGGCCGCCGCCGCCGCCGCCGCCGCTGGCACCGCCGTCGCTGCAGCCCGCGGGGCGAAGGCGACGAGGGCTGTCACGGCTGGAAGGCTGGGTTGCCGGCCCGCCCGCCCGGCAACCTTAAGCTCCCTTTATATTTTCTCCGCCCAGAGTTTCGGGCCCACCGCGTTGGGGAGCCCCCCCTGCCCCAGGTTGCCAGCCCGCCCGCCCGGCAACCTTGGCAGGTCCAGTACCGCGGGCCC